CATAAATCATAGGCTGTTTATTCTTTACATATTATGCTAATCAGGAATTGGAGCAAAACCCTGCTTTAATCGAAGAATACGCTCACAGGAATGGTGGAGGAAAATTGAACTGTCCAATATTTGTTTTGCCCACCCCCAAGAAGACATAAACAGTATAGAGTGAAATAATTGTTTTTAGGAAATACATTTAAATATCTTTGACAGAATATGTCAGTTTTAATTTATACTATAATAAATAAGCATGAAGTTCTTACATTTGACTTTTTGGAAGAAACTGAATTTTTGGTGCAGTAAATCTTATTGCTAAGTTTAAGATAAATTAAGTGCAATGCTAATTTATAGTGACTTACTATTGTAAATCATGACTGGCATACCAACACTAAAATATATATATATCAAGCCTATTAAGTTATTTCTGGTAGTCAAGAGTTTTTAAACATAAATGATGGAAACAAGAAATTCAGAGGGAAGAACAATAATGATAAAAAAGTTGTCAGTATGCATTTGAAACCAGGACTAATAAAATTATTTAGGATTATTATTATCAATTAAAATCATTTAGGGTTGTGCATTTAGTTACAGGTTTAAATATAAACCATGGCTTGTGGGTCCCCAAGAATATATTATGAAAGTAATTTTTTTTTTCATAATATATTCTTTATTATCCATGAAGGGGGTTTCACCTTTGCCAGAGGTTCATTGTTGCCCACTTTGGGTTTTTATTATCGAGTTTCAAAATTTAAAGATAATTCATTGTGCAATGCAATTTCAACATGCACTGACTGAAAACTTTCTGAAGGTACCAACTCATCATCTTCAAACACATCAATCTCAGGATTTTCAACACAATACCTTAAGCATATATTATGTAAAATGGCCACCAGATATGACCATTTTACATATTTTGCTTTGTGAATACAATAGTGTTCCACCAGTATCGTGCAGTACCCTAAATCTTGATTTGATCTCTATAGCTGCACGAACTTTTCTGTGCTTCTCATTATAGAGATATTCCCGTGATAAAATGGGAATATAATCCACTATCTCCCAAAGATATGCACGATGCGACAAAATACTATCTAGATTTTGTTTCAGTCCACCACTCCATATAAATGCATCATGAGTATTGCCTGGCCATTGTCCTACAGCATAGAGAACTCTCAGACCAGCATCCCATACCTAGAAAAACATAAATCCTAAGTCAAAAGAAAGTTTCATCTGAAATTTTAATACACAGATTTTTAACATTAAATATAGTTGATATATTAATAAATCAGTCTTTTTAAGGAGTTTACTTTCCATTTTTAACAAAAATATGTCACTGTTTTTTCATTATTAAAAATATGCAATAAAACGTTAAAACAAACAAAACACAAAACAAAAAAAAAAAAAAAAAAAACATTATAGCTACCCTTTTTTCATTAAATTGTAGTAAATAGGTGATTCTAAAAGCTTTTGTATTATTTAATATCTATACTTCACTATAATTATAGTATAGATAGCTTTTTGTTATTATTATTTGAATAATAATAATAAAACATTCTTGCAGTAATTTGAAATGACTATAATATTATACTTATTATCATATATTTCTTACCTTTTCACCATTAATGGAAAATTTATTTTTTCCGGTTAATGAAGACAAAACAAAAATTAATATCACACCACACTCGCAACATCTGCGGTTTCATTTGTATGTAACCCAAAATAATTCTTGGTAAGCTAGGTAGAATCACATTTGTGATTGCACTCCAGTTCTTTTACAGCTGGTCGAAAGAATTAACATCTACTGTATGTGGAAATAGCGAACAAAACAGTAAGAAATTGGAACAATTACCTGTGGACAACTTGTATTCATAGCATTCTAAAATGAGCTTTTGGTAAAATTTGACCGCAAATAAAACAGTAGTAGTAATGAACGAATGTTTTTTTTCACGAAGTGGGTCCAATACTTTCACAGCAGGGTTATTTCATGTATTCTGCAGAGAGACTGATGTATGGTTTGTTGTAACTGCTGTATACAAATGTCTGGCTCAGAATTCCACAGCAGTAATTAGCACAACTTTCATGGTTGATGGTATAATATGGAGGTACCAAAAATTAGTATTATCACAGTAACTGCAAGATGGCTTATATTTCTAAAACTCAGTTAACACATTTCATGCAGAAAGAAAATATTATCCAGTTTCATACTTAAATCAAGGTCACTGAAATGTGGTAAAAGCAATCTGCTTAAGAAAACAGATGCCTCTGTAGAGGACTTTCTATGGAAAACTGGCTTTCATTCCCATTATACATGGGCAAAACCAATGTCATGTAATATAATAATCTATTAGTACAGTAAATACATTTAATTTCTTTGTATTTATTATTTATGTCATGCTGCTTTTCGTGTAATTTAGTATGATAACCTTATAAGTTTATTTAATTCTGATCATGGTCTACGGAAGTAAGGTAAGTCACCTGTTATCGAGAATATCAAGTTATTAATAGTTATGTGAAAGTCTGCAATAACTTTTCATATCATAAGAGATTTACGAATGTGTATATAACTTACATGTGTAGTTATTATGCAAGATCTATAGAAAGTATCCAAAATTACCATGACATTAATCACACTGTACGAACAGGCAAGACATTATACATTAGGAGAAAATTAACTAATATTTTGGGGGATGAAATACTATTTTACACATGGGAACTGTTTAAACAGCTGAGAAAAATTCATGCTTTTTCCCCCTACAGTTACAGAATATATATATATATTGTTTCATAAGAATAAAAAGTAAAGTTAAATTTAAATAATTCTCATGCGCCATTGCTGCAAAGAATGAAATTTGAATTTAACAAATATTCTCTATTCATATAAAGTTAATTTAAATTATGAAATTTTAATTGCATACATATCAAAGATTAATTATTGCTGCAAACTAATTTACTATATCACTGAAATTCTGAGAGCATATGTAAATTAAATGCACGTATCTAAAACCATGAAAAAATATATAATATTCCAAAAAACTAATCCCAAATATATACATATATATATATCTCAAAGACAGGCATATGCATAATTTCTGTTAGAAAAACAATTTCTCCGAGATTACGTTTTAGAGTAATTAAAACAATAAATTAATGGTGATATTATTACTGCATTCCAAAATTCGCAGTAATTAACGATTTCGATCATTACTACGAAAAAAAAAACGGGATGAAAAAGAAAGAATCCTGATACAATAACATTAAAAATTTGTGTGTTTACGTATAAAAAAATATATAATATTCTCAAATAGGTCATTTAAGCATAGTCTTTGATTCGGAAACATTTCCAGAAGTATTTCAGTTTTCATAATCTAAAGTAAAAACAAACCTGCTTTTGCAGAGAATATCCATTGGCAGTTGCCTTCAGAAAAGGTTTCAATTCATTGAAGCAAACCGATTTAATCTGAATCAACTGATGAATTCACGCTCCGACATTTCAAAAGCATTACGACTGTCTCTTAAATGCCAAGGAATTCGATCAGCATTTTCCCGATATCTTAAACGTCTGAGCAAAATCACTTCAGCCATCTTGTTTACAGTCGCTGTTAAAAGTTTGCGGCAGGTCAGGAGTAGCCGCAAAATTCCTCTATGGTAGTGACGTATTTTCAGTAGGCGTGTCCGAAAAGCGTTGCACTTGAATCCGATTTTGCAATGCAAGTGCGATTACCATGACAAGCGTTGCACTTGAATTCGCCCCTAACTCAGCCGGAACAAAACTTGCAAATACTGCAAGTTAATCAGCAGCGAATCCAGCGGAACTTGGAAGAAATATTACATAAATTTTTCAGCCCAAAGAAATGTTTGAATTTTTCTTTTTTTTTTTTTTTTTGTATAGTTAAAAAATTGTGAAGCTTTCTAGAAATGGTGTGTGTGGGTACTAGGCCCATCAACAGCCAAGTAATAAAATCACTGAATACTGGTAGTTCGGTCCACGGTACAAACCGTGGCAAATGGGATTCATGATATTTCTCATGTGTAACCGGTATATTAGTCAATTTGCTTTAGAATATCCTCCAGGAAGGCATCCCTCGCCTCAGGCAGATAGGCTTCGAATGCTTTGCCGTAAATAAATAAATCAAATAGCTATGAAAAAGCTAGCAAAATTTTTATAACGAAAATTTTATTTTTGCAGATTGCCTGAAAGTGAATATTAAATGTGCCAAACCGGAATCAATGAGAAAACTCAAATTAATTTAAAACAGAGCTTATTATGATGTCATTTTTTATGCTTATTTACAATCGGTTTTTATTTATTTATTTATTTATTATGCATACAAGCGACAGCAGCTGACCCATGCACGCAACTACCACACATGTGTTTGTGTACACTGGGAATAACATGCTTTATATTCAACCATCATTTCGCTGAACAGTACCTACCGGTTCTAAAAATGTAAAATGTAAATAACATCTGTATAGATTATTCTTTTTTTCATAATTCATTTCCTTTTTCTTAGAAGGTTTTTTTTACATTATTATTTATGAAAAAAATATACCTATGAGCCACAAAGTTAGTCAAATAAACAATTTTTGACAGTTTACAAAACTTCCAATGAAGAGCAGAATTTTTATATTTCTTGTTCAGAATTCCGACCATTTTTTTGTGACTTAAACTAATTTAATGAACCATAAATTTGTTAAAATGCAGTGTAATACTGACATAGCATCGCCTGATCATATCGGATGATACGTGCGCACAAGGCTATTTGCATTCAGACACTTTTACACAATTTACAAAATGAAATTTCTCACGCAATTAATCTTACACAATCTATTAAATCAGATTAGCAACTTTTATTTTTAATTAAATTAAGCTAAATAAATACTATCACAAGTTCTTTAGCATTGATGCGTTTGCGGCAGCATGGGTTAAAACGACATTCTCCATCATGAGGGATTGTGAGTTCTTGGATAAATCCCTTTTTTCCCTTTCTCATTCCGAAACCGGGCTATGATCAAAAGTGATTCTTGGGGGTCTAGACGCTTGTGGAGAGACGCCAAAGTTCTTTGGAGACGCTACATGGCGTAGGCGGTTGATATGAATTAAGTTATTATTGAAAGTGGAAAGATCCTGTTGCTATGTGATATCACCTTCAACAGCCCGAAATACAAGGATCCGTCAATGAGAAAACGTTTGGCCGTTCTTTAAATATTTGTGGTAAGTAATATTTTTCTGAAAATTGTTTTCTTGTGTGTGACTGGTATATTAAATTACATAATTGAAATTTACTTATACTTACATAGTTTATGTTACACATAATTTATTATATTACATGCACAATTTAAATTTACTTGTGCTTCGCTTGAATTGTACAGAAATGATAATCCAACAATAAATATAAATATTGTCTCTTTAATCAAATGAAGTATACCTGCGATTAGAAAGAAGCGAAAATTTTTTCTTCTTTATAGTAATGTAGTGCAGAAAAAGATGTGCTTTTAACTTGAGCAAGAGAATTCTCATTATATTTAATATTCAAATATTTATAACTAGAAATTATATTTAAAAATTAAAAGTTTAATAAGTCGCAGTCAAAGATGAAATTCATATCATATTAAAGCAGCTTTTTAAGCGGCATACGAAAATTTTAGACATTATAATAAAGCTTTCGAAAAGCTAATGAAAGCATTATTAATTAACACTTTTGATTTACTTCATGGGAAACATGCTTTGCAGAAGAAAATTCACTTCATGTAATCTGTTTGTCCTTATAGAAGTAACTAATATCTAGATTAACATATTTGAAGTAATTCCCTAGACTGCGATGCCTCTTGTTTTTTAGGCGATTCTTTTTTGAGCCAAGATCGGCGCCAGGAAGGCACAATTTCAAGATGGCCGCTACACAAAATCAAAATAAGAAGTAAAAGAATTGCACAAATGTCACTAAGATAAAATTTTACTGGTGATCAATAAACTTTTAGTATTTATCTAGAGTAAAAGTTTACAATTGGGTGCCTCTTGTTTTTTGGCGATTCTTTTTTTGACGCCAAGATCGGCGCCAGGAAAGATTTTATCGCCAAAATTTTACAAAAAATTGTCACTTATCGAAGGGTTACCCAATTCTACACTAGAGCCTTATCTAGTTTTTGTACTGTCACTTTCTTCCCTGTTCCAAGCTGAGAAAGCAAGACAGTATGACTTAATAATATGTGTGGCCATATACAAATAGTCATGAAATGCTTATATCCTATAAGGAAATGCTGGCATTTAAAATGAAAACAGTAAATTCATATTATTTTATAGGTTCAACTATTTTGCATTACATGTGTATCAACCATGTTTTACTAGTTATCTAAATGACATTTTGGCAAATCTGGCCTTAAACATATTTAATATTCATATATACAGCAGTATCATAAGTTTTTAAATCTGATCTACCTCTTAATAATGTTGAATCAGATTTGATTGCATTCCTCTTCTTATATATCAGGGGTGGCCAACATCCCTGATATATAAGAACTTGCGAGCCACATACAGCTCTTTGAAGGATTATCCGTGGCTCTCGATAAATGTACCCCAGTTCCCTTTTCATTTTTGTGTTATTATATTTTAAAAAATTATTATCGTTCTGTATGTGTTTCAAAATGTCTTTTAAATTACAGACAACAAATATGAAAGACTAAGTGCAACGTTGAAACAAATTTCATTTCAGTCCATCGTCTCTTGATTTTTTTCTGAATCCATTTCAAATTAACGTAATTCAAGGTGAGTTTTTCATTTCCAATATAATTATGACCCAAAAAGCATCTGGAGAATTAGAATTAATAGAGATGCAAGAAGATCAAGCTCTACAATTAAAATATAAATCAATGCTGAATATTTAATTTTGGAAATTTGTACCAGAATCGTAGTATCCTGAATTAAAAAAGGCTGTTTGTTGAATTATTTCAATATCGAACAACATACTTATGTGAATCATTTTATTCCACTTAAAATTCGGAAATCCAAACACCGATCAGTATAACTACCAGCATCTCAAAGATTACGAGAAATGCTGTCACCAATTTTTCACCAAATTTGAAGAATTATCAAGAGAAGTAAATAATTTGTTTAATTTTTATATTTAAATTCATACACATATTTTGTACTTTTATTTATATGTTTTCAATAACTATAATTTCTGTAAAAAAAATTAATACCTTTTAAATGCGTATTTTTGCAACTCGCCAAAAACTTCTGCTATATATTTTGCATATCTGTAGTTTTTGGGAATTCTGGTTTGGTGACAATTGCTTGATAATTTTGTTACATATTTATTGGGAATTTTTGGATTTTACTGGTGTTGAATTTCATTTCTTCCAAATATTTGTGAATTTGATTCTAAATTTCTTACCTTTAGTCTATAATTTATATATAAAGAGATAGATTTATGTACAATTTCTAAGTTTGTTTTGCAATTTAGCTAATGATATATTTTGATATATTACCTTCCTGCACTATAAAATGTATCTGACATAATTTTTTCTCCCACACTTAATGTTAAAATAAAATTATTTTTCATTACATTCTGTTTGTTCACTCTGTGATTCAGTGATCTTGATTTATATAAAATAAGGAATGGAAATATTTCACATAGGTTTTTTATCATTTATAAACTTGATCTAGTATTATATTCAGTCTGCTGAGATCATTTAACCTTTTGACAAACCTATTCAAAGCCATCTGAATAATCTTTACATTCGACCGTGAGCATTTCCTTTGTACAAGCCAGACACTTATAATGACTACTATGTAAACTTTCATTTACACACCAGTCAATTAAAGCTTTTTTTTCCCTTTTGTTCCATATCGTACAGAAATTTCATATTAATTTCATCACATATAGCCATTTTACAGTGCACAGCACAAAATAAGCTACACACTTCCTAACTGACATCCAAAGCAGAAAAGAAGCCCTTACAAATATTAAATATTTATTTAACCTAAAAACAAACTGACTTCTATATATAATCCTATATGAAGTCATTGCATACTATAGAAATTTAATAATATTGTGCTTTTGAATCCTACGTCCTAGTAATATCTGAAGAGTGATGAACCATTTTAATATGCATCTTATTTTGCAAGCTATTTTAAACAGTACAGTTTCAATGCCAGTTGAAGCAACCAAGAGGAACATGAGAAATGCTTTAACCACTTAAAAAATGCTGCCTCAGATTTCTTTGTAATTAACCATCTGCTGCTAAAATAATAATTAATAAGAAAATTATGGATATTTTATATATCAGCTATCTGTGCCATCCTTCATTATGTCTATCTATTTACTACATTCGTAGATAATATGCCAAAAATCAAGGAAAACAGTCAATCTGTTTCTTTTATCAGAATTGTAACATCTTAGTTTGTTTTCAGTTATATATATTTTATATGATCAAATTTATTTGCTTTATCACATGTCTAATTTACCAATTAAAATATTGGTTAATCTTTGGATTATGGTAACTTGGCGATTTTTTAGCGAAAATTTGGTGACCAACCCTGCTGCAGCAACCTTCTAGTTTTTGTTTGGACGCCATTTTGTTTTCACGAGGTAAAGGCATTTTTTTTTTCCAACAATCTGCTAGCCGAATTACGCTTATGCTAGAACTTTTATGGTACAAAAGTGCTTAATCATGATGAAGATTAGATGCGAAATTGGGAGAAAGTGCAGAGTTGCAAACTGCTTGCCACGCTTTTAAGAATTGCACATACACGGTATCGTCCATGTACACGTCGACCTATTTTCTGTTAAGAAAACATCCCAGAATTGCACAAAAATGGCATTGCGCACACTCTTGACTTTATTCATGTACACTGCTAAAGTCCTAGCTAGTAACCTTTATCGCTTTACCAAAATGTCGCCAAACTACCTGTTAGAACACTTTAAACACCATGACTTCAACTCTATTCAACTTCAGATACTAGATATAGTACCCAATCACAAAACACGAATTTTTCAGGAATCTCTCTATATACTAAAACAACGTTCACTTTATCCATATGGACTTAACACTTATATACATAGTCATAGAGATACTTCTAAGAAGTCTATTTTCAGCCAATTTAAACTCTACAGCATCAAAACGCAGAGAGAAAAAGAGGAAGCAAAATAAAAAATAATGCGAGATTTTTATCCACTTTCGATACACTTGCATTGAAAAAACAATTGAAATGTTTTTTTGACTCAGACTGTTTTTCCCAAGAAACTTCTCAACTGGTTACACTCCTGTACTAATAAATTCCTTATCAAACTAAAAAAATTCATTCAAGAAAGCTACGACGACATACAAATCATTAAAGACATGATTCTTGATTTTAGTCTTTTCAGACTCTCTAATAGTCTCACTCAACGCAAAATTTATTTTAAAGTCAATTTTCTGCATCCGCAGTTTGACATATTCATTTCTCAAGAATCATCAGAGATTGTAAAGATTACTTTCCCCGCAGTTGACACTATACCAGTGATTGCATTTAAATATCAAAGGACCTCAAGCAACTTGCTTACTAATCACCATGAATAGATGAACTGCAGAATGACATTGTAAACAACCAATTTACAGCAATTCGTAGATTCTAATCACCAGCACATAATTACTGGCAACCTGAATATCATACAAAACCATCAACTAAAAAACACTAATGAGTTATGGTACAAAATTTAGACCAGTCAGAAACATGACTACAAATTACTGTTACAAGACTTTTGAAAACAACATCAACGAATTTATAGTTAAAGCAAGCTATCAACTGAATTTTCCCATAGATACCTTCTTAAAATGGAAAGCTAAAATTCTTCAACGCATATCCACAGAAATCAGTCACCTCAAATTAAAAGTACACTGAACTGGTCGCAACTTACATCTGATATTAGTAAATTAAAACAGCTTTTTACTATTACAAAAATAGATAAAGCAACTAATAACTTTAGCATTATATGAAAAACAATTCTACACTGAGATTATTCATAAAGAACTTCTCAATGCAACTACTTATCAATCAGCCAACCTTACAGAAACATCTATAATAAACAGGATTAAAACTTTTCATAAGAAACTCAATATTACTTTCAATGCAAACTACAACAGATTTACTAATCTTTATGCGATTCCCAAATTCCATAAAACACCATTAAAATTTAGATTTATAGCTAATGGAACTAATAATTACAAGAAAAATAT